GCTAGGGGTTTGTAATTAAGAGATCTTATACATATTGTACATGTATGTAGCCAGTAGCGTCGGATACATGATACGAAAACTTGTTGTTCGACCAATCTCTCGGAGAAGGAGAGGTCGATCGATCACTTCTCTCGGTATGCATGAAGAACTTTTGTACTGAATGGTTCTCTCGATCACTTATGTATATATAGTACGTAGCGTCGACCAAGCACGGACATAAGAGAGGACACTTCTCTCTATTAATTAGCTAGCTAACACAATATATGAAACACCTAAATTAACCCTCCAAAACCCCCAACCTCCCCTCCTTTCAAAAAAAACAAAAACCCCAGCCACTGGAATGCTGACGCGTGGATGCCTTTTGGTCCCGGTTGGAGCCACCAACCGAGACCAAAGGCCCCCTCACTGGGCTCGGCGCACAGGGCCACGTGGAGGCACATTGGTCCCGGTTCTGGATTGAACCGGGACTAATGGGTGGAGGTATTAGTAACAGCCCATTAGTCCCGGTTCATGAACCGGGACTAAAGGCCCTTATGAACCGGGACTATTAGGTGTTTTTCTACTAGTGTGGGAGTGTGATTTTCTCGGCGTACCGATGCATTTTTAACTGCAATGAAGCCCTGGAAGTGGAGTTGCATGCGTTAATGCAAGGGATGGCTCTGGCCATCCAGCACTGTGATCTCCCTGTCATTGTTCAGTTGGATTCTTCTGTCGCCCTCTCCGCCCTGTCTGGCGACAGCTTATCTAGATCGGCCTATGGACATTTGGTCGCTGAGATTCGACTTCTTATGGTAGATAGAGAGTTTATTCCCTAAACAATTAGTCGTATGCAGAATAGGGTAGCAGATCGTTTGGCCTTGTATAGTCGTACAGAGAGTACTACTGCTGTATGGCTGGGTCGAGGTCCACCGTGTGTTGAGGACCTCCTGCCGCTTGATTGTAACCCTTTACCTTTGGAATAAAATTCTTCTACCAGCGCAAAAAAAAATTATACCTACACGAGTGCTCAATATAATAAATGTGTTCACCTACATTTTGGGTGAAGTCACACAGAAATTTTTTTGGGTGCATTAGTAGACATTCTAGACTATCTCATAGATTTTATCATGCAAAGTTGTGTGAGTCGTTTCATATGCTCAAGTGTCTATAATAGGTGAAGTATGCTCAATGTATAATTTACATTCACATTTTATTGTATATGGATCCAGAGCTGATGACCAGATGTTGTCTATGTGTGTGTTACTAAAGTGCCAATCTGTGGGACAAAATTGACTATGGTATGTAATGTGTTTTTGTTAAGACTGTATGGTTGAGAAGTCCATTAAGATATGGTGCTCATGAAAAAACTATATCTGCAAAAGCTATATGTAGTACAAATTAAGATTTGAATCATTCTGTCCTAACTAGGATGATGGAAGAAATTTCTTTCTATGATTATACATGCGTGCACGCGCACGCTTACTAGTATCACTAGTAATAATGTATGTGCAATGCATGTTTATATAGGTAGGATATTAGTTGCACTTTATATTAGGTAAGATATATCTGTTGCACGTTGGTATTTGGTAAGATGTCAATTACTTTTTTCGCAGGAATGTTAGGATATTAATTACGTGGTAGATTTCATGGATAGCATTGAGTCAAAACATGTTTATAACCAATGACAGTGGTGGGTAATTGGAGCGTTAAACGTGTTTGCTGCTCAACATTGAAGCGATTGGAACTGCTAGATAAAATGATTTGACGGTCGAGGTGGTTTGGATCTGCCCCTTTGGGTCTTTTTATATTGGTACAGATTAATCAACAATCATTTTTTTATAAAAAAGAGGTCATCCCCGGCCTCTGCATCGAAGAGATGCATGCGGCCATGATCAACAATCAGAATACATGTACAAAAACATGTGGCAACATCTAGAGAAACTAGAAGTTGACAGATGTCCTGAAAAATATGCAGAAAGGGTCTAGGACATGGAAAAAGACAAGATCCATAACGATCTCTGCACATACACCGAAACTAACAATTGCAGCAAATAGCCAACGCTGCCAAGGGGCTCGCCGGAGAAGAAGCGCAATCTCCACCATAGCCCAATCCAGGAAAACACCATCGCGATAATGGCTTTCTAGGTCAATGAACCGGCCTGCTGCGAGCAGCAAGGCAGATGTGTTGTGGTAGGTCGACTGTGGAACACCCCCATGCTAACTTGGACCCGAATCAGCCGCATCCCATCGACATAGTCGGGGAAGAGCGCCAGATCAGGAGCCATCGTACCATCAACCCCGCACCAGTAAATAAATTTCGTCCTAGCCTCCGACACCACTGCAAAAAACAGCAACCGTTGGAGAGAAGAAGAAGACCTAATCTCACCACTCCAGCCGGATGGTGAGAAGACGAGGCCATCGGATTCTTGATGTTGTCATGGAGAACATCATCGTGTTGAGGAGGAAGCCGAGGCAAATTTATTCGACGCACCGTCGTCCTCATCCTTCTAGTGCCAGCACACGAAAGACTGACTCCGCCAATGAAAAAAGTACAGGAAAGAAACGGGATCCTCCTACTCCACCCGCCGCCGGAGCAGCGAGCAAAGGAGGAGGAAACCAGCGCCTCGCCGGCTTTCACCAAGAGGTTAAACTGCTTGCCCACGATCGCCCTTCTTTCTTGGAGAGGAAGTTGGGCTAGGGGCACGAAAAGAGATTGTTCAACGTTTAGTTATATGGAAAATGATCGCACTCAGCCGGCTAAAAACACGTCCCGCGGACGGCATCCACTGACGCCACACGTCACGTGGGGACTATACACTGCCCGTCCCTTTTTCGCTCCCTTATCCTCAGCCGTTGTGAGTTGCTCGTTACTTTCCCTGAATGGGACGTCTTTAACTCTCCTACCTCGCTCCCTTTGTCTACTTTGGGATCTCATCCGCGGATGTCTATCTCCCTGTGAAGCAGGTTGCCCCTCACGCCCTCCCCCAAGCGTTGCTGATGAAGCCACCACGGGCCTTCCCGATGTTGCTTCAAACGTGGTGATCGTTGCTGCGTGTCGGGGCCACTGTGGTGCTGGGGTGGAATGTGCGACAAACGGTGGTGTTTGCAGGATATGTGTTTTTGCAAAGGCTGCAAAGCCGGTTAATAATAATGGGGCAACATGATCGCTGTGTACAAATTTTTCTGCAATATGATCTCTATTACAAAAGATTTCTGCAACATGATTTCTGTTTGTAGAGTTTTTTTAGCAATATTACCTCTATTGCAATGGTGGAGGCTGCCGCTCGGCCGCTCGATGGCACTAGATCTGACAGCTCAACACCAGGACGATCTTTTAAAAAGATCAGCCAGCCGACATATAGCACACCCCAAGTTATAATTGGTTATAGTATATTGTTTTGCTAAATCTAAACTAATTTAGACTTAGTTAAGTCTAAATCAATGCTATAGTTGCTAAATCTAAACTAATTTATATGATTCGTGGATTTGGCCCTTTAGTTTCTTTTCTCTATTTTGTAGCTGTTATTTTCTGTTTCTTCCATTGGTTTTAAGTTTTTTTTGGTGTTCTTATCATTTTCCACGCAAGCGTAACTACACAATTGCATGCCAGCCAGTCGTGCGCAACTACACTTGCATGTCCACCAGCCGCACGTGTAGCTCCAGCTGCATGGCCACCTATCGCGTTGCACGCTCGTTGGTTGCTGCATGTCCACCGAACATGCAGAACGGTAGTTACATGCCCTCTGGCTGTGTGCAACTGCATTTTCACCGCCGCGTGCAACAGCATGTCCATCGGCCGCACATGTAACCGCGGTTACACACTCATCGGCTATGCTCAACTACATGTCCAACGGTCATGCGCAACAGCGCTTGCATGCCCAACATGTGTGTATAATTGCATTTACATACTTTTTTTTGCCTCGACTGAAAAATCGACGGAATTTTTGTTCATACAGTAGAACACATAAAGCAAGAGAAAAAATGTAAAAGGAAAACATGCTAACAGTAGTCTTAATCAAGTCTAAGTCCACTGAGGTCTAGCCACGCTCACATTATATATGAAACGCTTTATAGATGAATAATGCACAACACTTGTGCTTTCTCTTTGTCAAAGGAGATGCTAAATAATCAACACAAGGTGCTTGTGTGATTCCTTCGGATCCAGTACGTCCAAAATTTTCACCTTTTCGATTCTGGTATAAAAATCACTAATTTATATATACAAACATGAGGAATGGAGTTTGAAATTGTCACCCTTTTTAATTCCCGTATAAAAATCACTATTTTTATATTTTTACATTTAGTATTGAATATATGAAAGCACATCCCCTGTCTTCCTTGACTAGCTGACTAGCACCAGTGCTATGGGGTGTGAAAAAACATTCTCCATCAGTTTACAGGGTCGCCTGATGGTTTCGATGAGGAATGCCGCCACTCGTTAAAAGTTGGTTCGGCCTATGAAGCTCAACTATATTTCTATTTATTGGAGAAATACATGGATCAAACATCCAAAGCACCGCCGTATCACGCCAGGCCGCCCCACACCATCTGATCAAGTATTGTTCCCACCGGGTCACACGATGAGAACGCAATAGTGGCGCGGGGTTAGTTACCGCCGTCACACGGTTGCATTGTGAAAGTTAACTTGCGATGTTTAACTACAATCAACCGTCAAGTCTATCTTGTTTGGCTTCACAAATCCTTGCTTTCAAGTGAGAATTTTCTCAACATTTGTTACTTCTCAGTGTCAAACACATGCACAAGAGCCCGATTCTTCTACATGTTTATTCCAATTCGAAACTAAATGCATAAATTTTGCAAATATCTTATCGAAGCTACCCCCTTAAGACAGACCTATAGCTAAGCACCAGAAATTGAAGTTCCCGTTAGGCAAAACAAGTAACATGCGTGACTTAAAGATCATGATCACAATCCACCCGCCGCTGAAATATGACAAGAGTAAAAACCCTAACAATCCTCATGCTGCCTTTTTCGTGTGAACTCTACTTACCTGCATGCATCTACCACTTGCCAAGCCAGGAAATGAATAGCGCCGGCCAGTCCATCTCCAACAACACGACCTTCTGACGGTTAAGCCCATCAAAACCATCAGGCAACTCAAACTGCTCCATCACTCCTGTCTCAAGGTCAGCAATGTAAATCTGCCTCTGGCTATCCTTGAGTAGCATCGTGCCACTCTTCTCTCCTAACAATCTCATGTATATTTTCTCTGGCCTTCTTTTAATCTGCCTAGGTGGTTTCAACTCGACAGTACGCGTGGTGAGCCACCCGGCCTTGACAATAGCACCATCATCACTCTTCTTTTCGTCTTGCCGCGTGCAGATCTTTAGCTCGAGGCCTGGTCTAGACAGAAGTAACACCAAGGGCATCCCATCTGCCGTGACCGCAAGTTGTGGGTCTTTGTTGGTTTCCGAGTAAGTTGTTCTGTCCATGATCATTGTCTGAGAGATGTGAAACGTCTTCATGTCCATGTCAAGAGAGTAGTCAGGGTACCAGTTCCGGACGCTCCAATGCACCTTACCGCGAGACACAATGGTGTCGGGATGCTTAGAGTCACGAATCCCGCCAGCAGTGTCAAAAGTTAGTTTTATAGGCTTACTCCACCTTGAGTCGCTGGATGAGAACGTATAGAGACTGGGCGGGCCGAATTTCATCGTGCCGATGATTAACACTTTAAAGAAAGTCGATTGCAAAGACTGTTGCTCTGCACTCGACGAGCATTCTGCACTAGTTAGGATGGCGTAGCCGCTTTTGGTGAAGTTCAAATGTCCACATAGTGGGGGAAGCACTTCACACACGCGGGTGAGCAGATTGCACACAACCAGATTAACGACAGACTTGTCGTGCTTATAGCCAGCAGATACGTCCGGGAAAAGGCGCACGAGAAGGAGGCCGTGGCGCGCAGTGAGCGGCTCCATGCCGTCAAGGAGGCACGTGTCGGCGTCGGGGAAAAAGGAGCCGAGGGAGCGGCGAGTGAACACCGACCGTGGCGTCGGGACAAGAAACGTCGCAAACATGGGCTCCCCTGTCCGGAAGTTGGGGTCGGTACGGTCAAGCCGTTTAGGGGCCAAGAACCTGGCGAGGAAGCGGCTCGCCCCATGATCATCCGGCCAGCGACGACGAAGGAAGGAGGCGTCGGCTACGAGGCGGCTCCAGCTCTTGCACGTCACGGCGCAGCGGAAGAGAGCGGCTGTGCCTTCCACGCGGACGAGGATCTCACGGACGGCGTCCTCCGGGAGCGACACCGCCTCCGGCTGCGGCGCCGCCATCTCGTCCATCTTTCGATCTGTAGCCTGATCGCGTCTGCGACGTATGTGCAGCTGGACGAGGATCGAGAGTATTTGCAAGGTTATGTATACGTGATGTCAATCAAACTAACTTGCGTCCCGATCGATCCAGCTATAAATTGTGGTTTCCTACTAAAAAACGGCCGGTCGAGCATGTTGCATGGCTTGTGCTCGCGGAATTAGTACGCCGTTTTCAACAACACTCCTTGGGCGGGCCAATTTTTAGTACGAAACCAAAATTAGTTCACCGGCTTGTGCATGACGAGCCTGCACTGCATCACGGCGGAGCTCCCAGCTCACCACACAGCTGCACCGGTGGCGACGGAGAGGGAGGAGGTATACGTAGGCTCTCACGCCGCATACCGCCTTCCGCCTCGTACGTAGATCTATGTTGGCATCAGAGTCCTACCCAGACACGAAAAACCACCTCTTAAGTCTGATCCGATGTCTCCCTGCACACCAACCAGGCCACCTTCGACCCCATAAAAGCCGCTGCTTATTTTAGAGCCAACACAAATCAGACCTACACGCCGAGAACAATGAGCGGATCCAATTCTAGGGTCGCTGCCTGCTTGAACCCGCCAACCATAGCGGAGTTGGACGCCTCTCAAGGCCTCCCGCCCTGGATCAGCCTCGACACAAGGGTGTACCTTGCCCACCGTGTCAACTCCACCACGGCCGGAGCCGAGACAAGCAAAGGCCACGCCGTCCAGGTCTCCATCTGCTTCGCGCACCCGCCGGCCCTCTCCTACGTGTGCATCCACTGCCCCGGGCTCCAGCATGCCAATTTCGCCGGCGAGCCACGCGTTGTCCGCTCGGAGGAGCAGTTCCTTCTCCTGCACTTGCCACTCAACTGGTCCACCAGGCTCGTGCGGCGGTCCAGTGAGTACTACATGTACCAGGCCGTTCCGGGTAGACCACCAACGCTCTCCCGGATTCCGGACCCACCGGGTCGTAGCTTCCTCGTGGCACGTGATCTTGGCATTCACTGTTGCTGCGACGACGGGGAGTACATCCTGGCTGGTCTGTGCCCGAGTCGTGATGATGCTCAAGGAGGATATGAACTATACTTGTACTCGTCGGTGTCGAGAGATTGGACCAGGAAACCTGCTTATCTGGATAAACCACCGATTGACGAGCAGCTTCCTGTTGCGTCCCACAAGGTGATCCCCCTTGGAGGGAGCCTGCTAGGCTGGGTCGATCTTTGGAGGGGTATTATGGCGTGCGACGTGCTCTCTGATGAGACTGTGCGCCTGTGGTTCATCCCAATTCCTGGCCTGATGCGTGGGAACGAGGCTGATCGTCATTTGTGCCCATGGGTCATCCGAGACATCACTTGCATCAATGGACCGCTCAAGTTAGTCGAGATCGAACTTATTTCTTTACCCCCAAAAAACAAAGAAGAAGAAGGCATTGTGGCAGCATATCTCCCGGATAAAACTTACGATGATTCATCCTTTGTGAAACAGAACAATGATTTGGACTCCATGGAGCCTCACAAGTTAATTGGTTGGAGGTCCGTCATATGGAAAAGACTCCTTTCGGACGATGGTTGGCGCAGAGGGTGCCTTGTTCATGGTGATGACATATTGGTTCTGAACCAAGACCATTCTGCTTTGTTGGCTGGGCTTGGGGACAACACTGCTGGTAAATCATCAACAATGAACTTGTTACCATCTTTCCCCACCCTGAGCATTAATGGTGATGATGTTGTCCACATGAATTGCTTGGTGAGGTTAGACATCAAGAAGGCGCAAATGATCTCTATTGACATGGGAAATAAAACACTGAAGACAATGGTACCCTGTCCTGCTGCTGAACTGGATGACCATTGCCCTCACTTCCCATGTGTGTTGTCAAAGTATCTGAGCAACACTCCAGCTTTGCGACTGATTTTACGAGCAAGCAACTCTGGAACTGTAACCGAAAATCAACAACTCGGGTCTTGTCCTAAAAATGTGATCAATATGCCAAATCGAGATCTAGATGCTTACCCCCAAAGCGTACAGGCAAGCGACTCCATAAATGTTTCTAGAAATCGATGCCCGAGTTCTCATGCCCAGGAAGTGGTTATTACGCCAAATCGAGCTCAAAATGGTGGGTCAAACTTGACATCACATCAAAGCTTTGGCTTGTTGGATAAATTAACTACTAGGTACAATGGGAGTCATATTGGGTATGCTGATTGCACACGCTCAGACTATGTCGACTACCAGCAGGCATTGTCATTGCAGCATCAACCAACATTCCATCCTAACTCGGTACATCTTGTCGATTGGATCTCAGCAGGTCCAATGAACGCTCATCCAACATACCCCATGGTTAACACAGCCGCCCCTCGACGAATTATGCATCCGTTTTCGCATAATAACTACCGCTCGTTTCAGCCTCCATCACAGGCCAGGTGCCCAAGGACTCATCGAAACTCACCGTATGAAAGGCCGTCAAATGATTTTGCAAGCCAATGAGGGCTTTTACTAGGTGGTGCACCTATGAAGACCTTTACTAGGTTGTGTAACCACATTGTTACAACCAGACCATATCATAACAATCTCATGTGTTACTCTTTAAAATTTCTTGTTACAAGCATTACAACAACCATAGCTGATTCCTTATTCACCCCTCCCTTAAAAAAATCTACCAATATAAGGCTTACGAGGCAAAAATAATAACTGGAGCTCACTGGTTTAATGGCGTCAACGTCCTTCGTCCCTCCCGTTTCCCACCACTTGTGTGCTTTTCCTTAACCTTGCTCCACTTTTCCTGCTGGAAAGACCCCGGTCTCCATGTCATTCACCTCCGCCTTCCCTTCACTTGTCTCCCCCCTTCATTATTTTGATCTTCCGCTCTGGCAAACCTGACTGTCATGATGATCACCGACGGCTTCCAGCCTCTGACCTCGAGTTTCCCTTCTATCTTGGTCGAGCTCATAAGCGTTCTAGCTAGCATTAGTGAGTGAGTGAATCATTGTTGTTTCTAGGCTAGGCTAATGTGATCAGAGTATTTGTATTACTAATTTAATTTTACTATCATTTCATCTTTTTCTTTTTGCGACAACTATCCTTGCATAATATATCCTACTGGCTGCAAAAAAAATTGCTTTATTTTGTCTTCCTTGTTTGGCTGACTAGAAGTAGTGCTAAATGCTAAAGGGATGAAAATACTCATCGCTGATCATAATCACCTGTTGCACCACGTTTGTGGACAAGTCGGGAACACGGTGACGTGGGGTTGGTTGCAACCGTTATGTGGTAGCATGTCCCCTGAGTTCATTCTATTTATTTTTTCTTCATGGTGCAGTTGTGAAAATTAACTTTGGGTGTTTAACTTGTCTCACACTCGAGGCTTGAAAAAATAAAACCAACCATCAAATCCATATTCACAAATCCTTGCTTTCACAGTGATGATTTCCTCAACATTTATTAGTTCTCAGTGTCAGCCACATGCAGAACGAGCCTGATTCTTCCACATGATTTATATAAATTCAAAACTAAATACATAAATTTCTCAAATATCTTATCAAAGCTACTCCCCTTAAAATAAACCTAGCTAAGCATCAGAAATTGAAGTTCATGTTGGGAAAAACAAGTAGCGAGCTTAACAAGGGTGATCACAATTCACCCAACGCCAAATATGGTAATAACAGAAAAGGAAAACAAACCTTGTGCCGTCGTTTTTGTGCCTGAACTCAACTTACGTGCATGCATCTACCACTTCCCAAGCCGAGAAACAAATAGTGCCAGCCAGTCCATCTTCAACAAGACGACCTTCGAACGGTTAAGCCCATCAAAACCATCCGACAGCTCAAACTCCTCCATCACTCCTGTCTCAATGTCAGCGATGTAAATCTGTCTGTGACCATCCTTCAGTAGCATCGTGCCAGTCTTCTCTCCTAACAATCTCAAGTGTATTTGATTTGGACTTCTTTTAATCTGCCTAGGTGGTTTCAACTCGACAATGCGAGTGGTGAGTCGCCCGGCCTTGGCAATAGCACCATCCTTGCTCTTATTGTCGTCTTGCCACGTGCAGATCTTTAGCTCGAGGCCTGGTCTTGACAGAGTTAAGACCAAGGGCGTCCCATTGGTGGTGACCCCGAGTTGTGGCTCGTCGCTGGTTTCCACGTAAATTGTCCAGGCCATGATCCTAGCCTGAGAGATGTGATAAGTCTCCATGTCCATGTCAAGAGAGTAGCGGCATGACCAGTCCCCGACGCTCCAATGCACCTTGCCACGAGAGACGGCGCCATCTGGATGTAGACAGTCGTGGATCACCCCGGGAGTGTCCAAAGTTAATTGTGTAGGCTTGCTCCACCCGGCCTCGCTGGACAAGAACGTGTAGAGGCTGTCCGAACCTAGATACCTCCGGCCAGTGATTAGCACTTTGAAGAAGGTCGAGCAGCCCGGTTGCGAACACTGTCCGATTGTGCTTGAGGAGTAGTCTGCGCTAGTTAGGATGGAGTAGCCGCTTTTATCAAACTCCAAATCGCTGCTTAGCAAGGGAAGCACGTCGCACACGCCAGCAAGCAAATTGCACACAGCCAGACGTACGACCGACATGTTGTACTGTCGGCGGGAGGTCAGGCACACGAGGAGGAGGCCGCGGCGCGCCGTGAGTGGTGTCGCATGGTCGAGGATGGCCGCGTCGGCATCGGGGAAAAAGGAGGCGAGGGAGGGTTGGCATGGGCCGAACATCGACCGTGGCGTCAGGACAAAAAACGTGGCAAACATGCGCTCCCCCGTCCGGAAGGTGGGGTCCGTACGGTCGAGCCGTTTGGGGGCGAAGAACCCGGCGAGGAAGCTGCCGCCCATTGATCATCCGGCCAGCGACGACGAAGGAAGGAAGGGTCGGCTACGAGGCGGCTCCAGCGCTTGCACGTCACGACGCAGCGGAAGAGAGCGGCCTTGCTTTCCACACGGAGGAGGATCTAGCAGACGGCGTCCTCCGGGACACCGCCTCCGCCGCCTTGTCGACCGTACTTTCGATCTGTAGCG